GGAGCAGGAGCAGGAGCAAGGAGCAAGGAGCAAGGAGCAAGGAGCAAGGAGCAAGGAGCAAGAGGAGAAGGAGCAGGAGGATGAGCAGCAGGAGGAGGACGAGCGGGAGGAGGAGGAGGAGGAGGAGGAGGAGGAGGAGGAGGATGAGCAGCAAGGAGCGGGGGAGCAGCTCCTCCTGCTCCTTCTGCTCCTGCTGCTGCTGCTTCTCTCCCGCCAAAACTGAAAAGAGGAAGCAAACCCGAGGAAACGATCGCAGGATCATATCCTGCGCAATTGTCCGGTGAGCTAACTACTTGGGTCCGCCTCAGTGAACTAGGTTCTAGATCACTAGGTGGAAATAGAGGACAGAAACCTTACTTTGATTTTCACACATATACACTGAATCGCTGCCATTGAAAATATAGTGTCGCCATGCGGAGAGCGATGTTACTATGCATCGCTTTCGTATGCACGAGCCTGGAAGAGGAGCGGATACTTTCGCTTCATCCTCCTCCAGACCAGCTGTGCTGTCTCCTTCCGAGTACATGTCTAGTATGTCTCCACCCTCAAACTGGATCTCTCCAGTCCTGTCCGTCTAGACATCAGCAGCAAACGGATCGAACTGAACTTCATTACCAACCTCCCTTCGTCCTCTCTACTGCTCCGATGCGACTTACTGGAGGATTCTTGTCTCCTCCACGCACCTTCATTGACGACGCAAAGGTCAGACTCGCTCTAGCTCGATTCATTCTCCTCGCAAACCTGATGCGACCCATCCTCCTCCCATTTTGCTGCTGGCACTCGCTCTTGCTGGCTTGCTGACTCTCTGCCTCCTAGGCGATGGGGCTCGAACACATCGATGAAGGGTGAGTCGAGGTTCAACCTGATGGCAGCTTCGTTCACCACTACTGTTGATCCTACCAGACCGATGTATTATGACGAATCAGAACAAGTTCGTGAGGAAGGAGGTGAGGAGCTCTTGGTGCGGTTCGCTCAGGCTGACCTTCCTTCTTCAAGATCTTCGAAACAAAGTTCGGTCATCACGATACCTTGACTCCGATACTTTAGAATGGGTTCTCGCATGCGAAGAGAAACTATGCTTCCAGTCTGACATGTCATCCAAGGTACACGTGGACGAAACTCGTCAAAATCGGAAGCCATCGGGGGAGCACGTTGTCAAGTATGAGCAGAGACCGTTGGACGCATCTCAGGTAGTCCTTTGGGTTCTCTTGCGTCTGGTTGGTCAAGGGCTGAAGTGATGTCTTCTAGAACAATATGAAGCAGTGCCGTACTGTGAATCCTCAGATGGATCGTTTCGTGCCGCCAGCACTGGAACCCTTCAGAGCATATGTCATCAAGTAAGTTCGCATGCATCTCCTTGCAACCAATGAGATCTTGGAGTAGAAGGCCATCCATCCAGAAGTCCCCGAGTGAGAAGAAGGAATCTTGCGTCCCTAGAGGGCCGATCTTAAGGTCCAACAACCGAGGAGAGATGAATTGCTCAGGTTCTTGGCAGTTTGGAGAAAGAGCTGATTGAAAGCTGGCGCAATACAAACGAGTACTTGATCCCTCACTTCGCCAAGCTCGAGTTGGTGGGTGGTCTGGGTTTCAAAACACACTCTTGTTTATTTTCGTCACAGGCCAAAGGGGTCAACCAAACTATGTTGAAAGAAAACGAACGGTGATTTCAAATTCTTACCCAGGGAGGTTGATACGGTGGTAGGTTTTTGACTGAAGGAAATGTAACTGGAACGATTTTTTCGAATTTGCCGGTTGAGAGACTTCAAATTGGATTGCACCCCTGAATTTTCGTTAGGATGAGTCGAACATTTCATCGCTTCTTGGAGAGCCTCTCGAAGAGAAGAGAGATCTTGTTGGTACGGGCAACTTCTTCATCTGAGTCTGATTCTGATATGCCTATCTCAAGTCCAAAAGAATGAAACTCCTGAGGTGATCAGGATGGGAGCAGCAACGAGGATGCTCCGACGTATCGCAAACCGCAATGCTCGGAAAGCCAAGAACGCAGAGGTTGCAACAGCGATGTTGAGCTCGATGCTGACCCGAGAGTCAGGGCATGAATAAGGAGGAGAGCGAATACAGCATCACTAAGAAGTACGGAGGAGCCTTATCGCAGAACACTTTCAATCCATGCACCAGACCGGACCATGAGAACAGACCTTGGCTGGTAGGAGTCTTTGTTGCAGCACTCCTTTCTGAGCACTCATTGTATCGAATAGTCGAGATACAATCAGGACGAAGCAAGTCCATATCAAGCAGAAGAAGCCGGACCCAACGAGACCGAAGAGGAATGCAGGTGATATTGATTCGTTTCTGCTTGCCTGCTGCAGTCAAGAGATTTCAGGGCGAGACGAGCTGCGACAGTTGTTTCTATCATTGGCTGTGGAAAGATGGGGAGTAGACTTGCCGGTAAGCAACAAGATCGTCGTGTGATCGAAGCTGAATGGTCTCCACAGAGTTGTGGGCAAGGGGAGGATATAAGGTCCTCGTTGGCTCCAGAGATCAGCTTCGAGGTGAAGAGACCGCACGACGTCTGACAGAAAGGTCTGAGGTCTTGCGGGGTCTTTATTCAATTCTAAGTCATTGGAATAGCATTTCCAATCAAGTCACTTCGTCCATCGAAGGAGGGACGATGGAGTGGGCGGCGGATCAAGGGGATATTATCGTTCTGGCCACTCCCTTCACTGCGACCATTCAGGTTGATTCTTGGTGCATAGTCTACAGACAAGGTTTGATGGTGTCGTTGAAGGTTCTGAGCGTAATTCAAGAATTCATTCATGGACAACATAAGATTATTCTCGATATTACGAATCCCATCTACGATCACAATGTGAACTCCAGCAAATTTGAGCAATTAACGTTCTGACTTGTTTTGAAGGCTATCGAAAGTGTAGCAGCACTTGACTTGCATATGGCATTCTTAGATGACCCCACGGCTAGTTGGGCCGTCGGGTGTGCGAACAGGAGCATCGAGCGGCATGGCCATTGACATGTTCGCAGTTACAAATCTGTCTTTGTGAATCGATTGAACTTCGGCTCTCGGCACTCACAGGAATCTGCAAGATCGAAGTCATTCGGGTGCGGGTGACGGTTGTTGCAGACTATCGACATCTGTGGAGATCGCAAAGCTCGGATGGCCGTCGCTGACCTGGTGAAGGAGAATCTGTTCCCTCATCTCCCAGTCAAAGGTTGAGCAGGTGAGGTGCCATGGGTGGACTCCGAGGATACGGGGAGAGGTCAGCATGGCACGAGTGAGTTTGTTGTGCGCACGTGCTTGCTGAGGTTGAGCCTCCTGCCCCAGGCACTTGAGCCAGGGAGACGAGTGGCGTATATCAAACAGATGTTTGGAGATTCATGAATGAGAGCGAAGAGGATGTCATGCTCAGGTATTTAATCAAGGTTTTTTCTTCTTCAAGTAACCCTTTTGGTTGGCAATATAGCACACGTGCAACCGTTCGATCATCGACGGGTCTACACCATCAAAATGTGATACCAGGCTTTCCTTCTCGTCCATCTCCATGCCATCCGCATTGATTTCATCTCCTGGAAACGAAGTCACGCCCGAGCTCTCTTCACGAGTATCGTTATTACCATTCTTTCTTTCCATGATTTCAAGATGCTTCACTAATTCTTGAAATCTGCAAACAAGAATCACTAAATTTCGCGATATGACATCCAAGACTATTACACTTCAGATTCATCTCCGGTCAGAATTATTTCCATGAACTGTAGCAATCTCCACATCAACTGCAGATGCATCACGATACAACAGCAGACCTGCCCTAGATGCGATGTTTGAGATCTGCCTCTTTCTGACGCTAACAAAATGATCTTCCAACGATTTCGATTCTCCTTATTCTCTGTCGTGTCGGGATAATCCATCACTACGAACGACAGCACCTGCCTTCGCTCAGTATTGTCACGTTCCAACGGGAGACAAGAACCATGGTTGACAGGTTGTATAAAGCCTCCGGGCTGCTGCATTCTGCCACGATCTCAGCTGGTCGCTGGTCTTTGTAGTGTATGAGTTGCAATCGCACAGTTTCCTCCTATTCGATTGTTGAGTCAAGTGATGTGCGGAAACGACTTCCCCATTCCTCACCGTTCGTGTGAGACCAAACGCTGTGCATTCCCCAAAGGTTTCAATCTGTATGACAGGACACGCATTCATCTTTGTTGTCATCACACAGCCCACATAGCTGGCTTGTCACCTAGCTCTAGCCTCTAAACCTCACTTCTACCTCTCTCACCCTCCCTCCCTCCATTCCTCTCCCTCTCCCTCCCTACTTACCTGCCTATGTTGATCGCTCGCTCGCACCCTTCCCCTCGCTCGCTTGCTCGCTCGCTCTCCCTCCCTCCCTCCCTCCCTCCCTGCCTGTGTCGCTCACCGCTCGCTCACTCCCTGACTCCCTTTCGCTCTACCTCCCTCTTAACCTCTCTATCTCTTATCATCCTCCTCCTCCTCCTCCTCCTTCTCATCATCATCATCATCCTCATCCTCCTCCTCCTCATCATCTCTTACCGTGTGCTGTCCGCGCCCTTGCCATACGTTAGGCATGAACCCGCTAAGAAATGCCAGACGACTTTAGCTCAATTCAGGAACTCTGACCCAAACATCATTAGCTGAAACAATATGTTGCCTTCTCCGACCCTTGGTCATTTCTGTCTTTTTATGACATTATAAAATTTCTTTGAGGCGGACTTGAATTCTTAAATGCCTATCAGTGATGACCTGATGAGTAAAATTGTGTGTATTTTGGGTGAAATCGCACCGCCATGTTCGAGGTTCTATCTATGCAGGTGCGTTGATGACGGCAAGATGGGAATGTTATGAGAAGAGAAGAGGGATGTTATGAGAAGAGAAGAGGGATGTTATGAGAAGAGGAATGTTATGAGAAGAGAAGAGGGATGTTATGAGAAGAGGAATGTTATGAGAAGAGAAGAGGGATGTTATGAGAAGAGGGATGTTATGAGCAGAGAAGATGGATGTTATGAGAAGAGGGATGTTATGAGAAGAGAAGAGGGATGTTATGAGAAGAGAAGAGGGATGTTATGAGAAGAGAAGAGGGATGTTATGAGAAGAGGGATGTTATGAGAAGAGAAGAGGATGTAAGAAGAGGAATGTTATGAGAAGAGAAGAGATATAAGAAAAGAAGAGGAATGTTATGAGAAGAGAAGAGGGATGTTATGAGAAGAGGGATGTTATGAGCAGAGAAGATGGATGTTATGAGAAGAGAGGAAAGATATGAGAAGAGGAGAGGAAAGATATGAGAAGAGAAGAGATGTAAGAAGAGGAATGTTATGAGAAGAGAAGAGATATAAGAAAAGAAGAGGAATGTTATGAGAAGAGAAGAGATATAAGAAAAGAAGAGGAATGTTATGAGCAGAGAAGAGATATAAGAAAAGAAGAGGAATGTTATGAGCAGAGAAGAGGAATGAGAAGAGAAGAGTGAAAGAAGTTTAGGGTTTAGTCAAGAAAAATCTTTGAGATGAGGAGAGAAGAGCAAGGAAGTACCATAGTTCAGCAAGGAACAGAGGAATGTTTCAAGTCGACCAGATTAGTCAGTCGGGAAGGAGATTATATGAACGTATGCTCGAGGAGGAGAAAGACGAAGAAGTTTTCGGTGATGCTACACATACACCTTTGTTTTTGAAAAACGTTTCCTTCACAGTCGAAAGTTTGCTTCGCCTTTTCATGCCATGTTTGACTGCTCTCACAGATGCTTGTTTCTACCTATTCAAATGACAAGCTTTTGCGGTCTTCGTTTTCTTTCTCTGGTCAAGACAGTCAGGGAGCTCCTTGGTAAAGATCTGTACCCTAGTGCACACAAATAACAATACAGTCTCTTAGAGACACGACTCTGGTCATCTTCGTTTATTAGGTTGCAAGAGTACGACTCTCAAACCTAGAGCATCTTTCATTCTATTCCAAATCCTCCACTGTGATGTTAGCTGCATTCGGGTGTTGTGCCGTCGAGGCCGAGTTCCTCCTTGGGTGCTCCGGGTTCCAAACACGAACGAAGTCGTTGCCGATCTCGATGGCGGTAGCGGATCCAGAGCGCTTCCTGGCGATGTTGGGCTGTACTTCGCCGACTCCTGACCTCGATCGGTCGCGACGAGCGAGAGAGAAGGCGAGAGCGAAGTCGCGTTCGTTGATGCTGTTCCGTCGCTGCCGGCTGACGTCGGAGTTGAAGTACTGGACCACTGAGAGCCGGGGAGCGACCTTCTCCCGCCGTCGTCGAACACCGCTGTAGCTCAAGCAGTAGAAGACGATGACGGCGAGGAGTACGCCTCCTAGTGCGCAGGCTGCGATCATTGCCGTGTACGACAGAGGGACTCCCGAGCTAGTGCTGGCCGAGAAGGAGGTGATCTGAGGGTTTGTAGTCGCCGACGCCTCCGGTAAGCCATGTCGTCTGAACTGCTCGTTGAGGTTCTTGAGGTTCAGGTTCCCCGCCACTGCCCTCGCGTCCGTCTGAGTAGCAGTGACGATGCTGAAGCCGACCTGAACGTTGCTCGAGCTACGTCTCGCTGCCTGTACCTTGTTGATAATCACCGTCGATGGGTCCACCGCTGCTGTCGCAGCCACGGAAGTTCGGAATTGGACGCGTTTGGCGTTGTCGAAGGACTGCAAGGCGATTGGAAGCGTGACCTGCATCTGGACTTGGATGTTAGGAGTCACGCCGGACGACGACGGGGAAAGCTGCGAGCTGGTCGAGTCCTGCAAGTCACTTCTAAGGGAGCGAAGCAGCGGGCAACTGGAGGGACCTGACTCTGATTCACGTAGTAGATCAATTTCTCCACCAGATGCGTTCTGTTGATGTAGATGACCTGTGGCGAGGTTACATGGTTGAGATGATCGTCAGAATCGTACTCACTTTTGGTATCTCGACTGTTCGATTCAGGAAGGCCATCTGAGGCAAGACCGTGAAGTCAGACATGAACTGAAGAAGTCGAGATAACCTTTGGGAAGACCATTTTGTCAAGAGACACGTAGTAAGAAAGGTTGGAACAGAGCGTCTGAGAGCAAGAGTAAGATGATTCCTCCATTTGCAAGGAGACAAACCTTGTATGAAATGTCTGAAGTGTCAAAATCTGAGCAATCAGCAAAGTTACAATCAATCGTTGCAGAAAAAAAAATATTGAACCTGGAAATGATTGAAAATATCTGCAAAGAGCATCGGCTATCCCGAACAAATTGACAGCAAGAAACGAATTCAAATGGGGCTGAAAACAAGTGAGAAGCGAAACAAAATAAACAAATACAGCACCTTGCAGGTTACAAACAGTCGCCCATGATTGAAAATAATCTAAGAAAAGACAGCTTCAGTAAACAAGAAAAGAGCATTTTAGGATAAACCTCCGCCTGGCAGTCCTCCCCGTTGATATTGACCGTAACATTGGATTGGTTCTGAAAAAAGAAGATGAAAAACCAAGCACTCTGCCTGTCCTTCCTCCCTACCTGTGGAGCTTGGCACATGATCTCCTTGCACGTCACGTACTCCTTCCCGTCCATGTACCGTATCTGCCCCGGCCCCGTCAGCCCGCCCTCCGCCCCGCCTGTCTCCTCTCCTCCTCCCCTCCT